TCAGTGTGTGTGTGAGGCTGAAGTATAGTGGTTTCCTATGTCGGTTGGCTGTGGCTATGAGGTGCCGTTTGTAAAGTTACACAGTCAAAAATTACCACCAATATTTTTGTTTTATTTAGATTTTTATAAGAAAAAATGAACAGATTTATTTTTCAAAGTCAGTTTTTCACCATATGATTCATACATTTATAAATGTCATAGTTTTAGTTTATAAACTATGACATTTATAAATGTATGAATCATATGGTGAAAAACTGACTTTGAAAAATAAATCTGTTCTTTTTTTCTTATAAAAGACTAAATAAAACAAAAATATTGGTGGTAATTTTTGACTGTAACTTTACAAATGGCACCCTATATGTGGCACTCAGTTTAGACTTGGTTATTAACAAATCATAATTATGCACCCAATGACTGGTTTCTGTCAGTCTCATTAAAATATATCTAGTAGTTTGTGAGATATTTGCTAACAAACAAAAAGAGTTAAGTCGAATAGTTGGTTCCAAAGTTTTAAATATCTTGTGCAAGCATTTTGCACTTAAAGTTTGTGTGGGAATGATGCAGCTACCACGCCAAACACCTGCTGAAAGTCTGGAAAATTATCTGTGTTTCAGACATTTTTGAGTTTGCAGAATTATTTTTGCTAAATTTGCAATTTCGAGGTGGTTTGACTTCAAAAGTTAATTAGATGTAGATGTAAATTCCAAGATTAGTTTCTGAAAGTTTCATTCAAATCTACGGAAGCGTAGAGCTGTCACATGGCATAAAATTATTTTTAAAATGGATCTCATTATAACGAGAAAACTATCCCGTAAAAAAGAGAAAATATGTCGTTATAACAACCAAAGTACCTCGTTATAATCAGAAAACTATCTCGTTATAGCGACCAAAGTACCTCGTTATAATCAGAAAACTATCCCGTAAAAAAGAGAAAATATGTCGTTATTACGACCAAAGTACCTCGTTATAATCAGAAAACTATCCCGTAAAAAAGAGAAAATATGTCGTTATAACAACCAAAGTACCTCGTTATAATCAGAAAACTATCCCGTAAAAAAGAGAAAACTATCTCGTTATAACGACCAAAGTACCTCGTTATAATCAGAAAACTATCTCGTTATAACGAGCAAAGTACCTCGTTCTAATCAGAAAACTATCTCGTTATAACGAGCAAAGTACCTCGTTATAATCAGAAAACTATCTTGTTATAACGACCAAAGTACCTCGTTATAATCAGAAAACTATCTCATTATAACGACCAAAGTACCTCGTTATAATCAGAAAACTATCTCGTTATAACGACCAAAGTACCTCGTTATAATCAGAAAACTATCTTGTAAAAATTAGAAAACATTAGAAAACATCTCAGAATACATACAGAACACTATGGACTTTGTTGACAAGGTGAGGGATGTCATCATGGAGACGGATGAAAC